GATATATTTGAATTTCAGTAAATGATATTTTAGTAATATGCTGTCATACGTATATATAAACAAATTATACACACAGAGAGAGAGAGAGAGAGAGAGAATTCTGTCTTAGCCCCCCAAATGCATGTACCTGTATCAAGCAAAGATTTCTTAGTTTTATTTTTTTTTAAATATATCAGACAGTGTAAAAACCAATTCTTTATCAACAAATCAATTTGTCCTTCCATCACACTTTGCGTTTAGCTCTGTTCAAAGCTCAGTTTCAAAGAAACTATCCAAGATATTTTTATCAAACTTCATATGCTGATAGATATTGATGAGAGCTATGCAACTGCATCAACTTTTTTTGACCTTGACCTTTCTTTTGACCTTGACCTCACTTTTCTTAAATTAGTGTTTAGCTCAGTTTTAAAGATACCATTCAAGGTAGTGTTAGGCCAACATTTTTTTATTTTCTGTTTTACGGGAATTTTTTTTCAAAAATTTGAGTCGGGGGGTCGAAATAAAAATAAAAATAAAAGCTTGAAATTTAAGCAGTCGGTCAGAAAAATAAAAATAAAATGAAAAATGCAATGAAAATTTTTTTTTAATTAAGGATGGAATTTTTTTCTATGACCTTAATTTGTTAGGAAAAAAGGGTTATATGAAAAACTTATGTGTACAAAACACAAAATTGGTACGTTAATGTATCAATGAACTATTTTAAATTTAATTTTCTCTTAGATATCTGTGGCAGGGGGTGCATTTCTAGTATGAACAGCTTGCAGTTTCTAATATTAATGAAAATCAAACATACAAATCTATAGTCTTCTCTGTCGTCAAATACATGTATCATAGTGTCACCACAGTAAAACTTATAGGACTTATGTCACACGGTCACACCCCTCATAAACTTTTTAGAATCTTTTATTTTTCGGTATTCAGCAAGTTACAAGATCTGAGGATTTTGGACTAGCTCTGGCAAAGTTATGGCAAAAATACAGTGAGACATTCAATGGATCAGCTAAAATAAATTAATTCACAGAATTGCACGTGAGACATGATAAAAAGAAAAGTTGTATAATATTTTTGCAATGCAATTCAAATTAATACATATGTAGGTGGAAAAAAGTACCCCAATCTCTCTATTGAAAACACATTCAAACTTCCTCAATGTGTAGTAGGTTTGATCTCTTTTTATCCTTATATTTTTCTTTCTGAGCATGCTAACTTTCAACATAATTGTAGAAAATATGTACATCTTTCCCATAGTATACATATGTAAAATACACATGACAATATTCTGTTTACTGCAGAATTCAAAAATTTAGTGGTTGAAACTGGTTCTATAATCCACAACTTTTGAATGAAAAAAAGGAGCCAGGTCTCGAATTTAAATAATATTTGTAAGGGCGTATCATTTACAACAATACTTTTCCCTAGTGGTAAAAATGCTGTTTTACTAAACAAGAGACATAATTATACACTATATCAGCTGTTATTAATAGCTGATGTGCATTAATTTGTTATATAGCATGCAAAATTCCATAAAATGATAAAAAAGGAAATAATGTCTTGTATCAATCAAACATATATTTTCGTAAGTAATTTTGAATTCCAATATTTGTCATTAAAACGGGTGAAAGTTGTGACTCGAATTTCCTCAGTCACGCCACTTTCTATCAGTTCTACAGTGTTCTGTTCTGTCCTTAATTGTAAGAGAAAACACTATTGTCTTAAAATTAAGTTTAAAAAAATCTTCAAGACATATTTCAATGTATTGAAGCAACTGTCAAAGATAATACGTACTCAAAACCTTTCAAAACAAGCGGTTGACATGACAGAACCTTAATTTCCACATGGCCCTCTGCATGACATTTGATCAAGATTACCGTTTCGTCTATTTCATTCAATCTTTCATTAAAAGTTAATCTGAAAATTATACTTTTTCTAATATATGACATTGACATGTCACTTTTTTAAATGACTTTAAAAATATATGAAACCCTCCGATTCTGACATTTTGGCGCTATGCTGTGCAGTGACACTTCGAATACTGTGATTGGATAAATATATTTACCTCTGCCAATGACAAATAGCATTTTGAAAGGCTTGTGAAAAGTTTATTTATATTTCTTTTATTTTTTCAGTGACTATAAATAAACTATCGGCGGGAGAAATAAAAATAAAACTTGAATTAGAGACTTTTATTTTTATTTCATCTTAGCCCAAATTAGGGTCGGCGCTCCCGTAAAACAGGATATAAAAAAATGTTGGCCTTATCAAACTTCAAATGCTGATACATACTGAGGAGAACTATTCAACTGCATCAACATGTTTTGACCTTGACCTTTCCTTTGACCTTGACCTCACTTTTCTTAAATTAGTGTTTAGCTCAGTTTTAAAGATACCATTCAAGGTAGTGTTATCAAACTTCAAATGCTGATACATACTGATGAGAACTATTCAACTGCATCAACATGTTTTGACCTTGACCTTTCCTTTGACCTTGACCTCAATTTTCTTAAATTAGTGTTTAGCTCAGTTTTAAAGATACCATTCAAGATAGTGTAATCAAACTCCATATGTTGATACATACTAATATAAGCTATACAACTGCATCAACATTTTTTGACCTTGACCTTTCTTTTGACCTTGACCTCACTTTTCTTAAATTAGTGTTTAGCTCAGTTTTAAAGATACCATTCAAGATAGTGTTATCAAACATCAAATGCTGATACATACTGATGAGAACTATTCAACTGCATCAACATGTTTTGACCTTGACCTTTCCTTTGACCTCAAACTTCATATGCTGATACATACTGATGAGAGCTATTCAACTGCATCAATATTTTTTCACCTTGACCTTTTCTTTGACCTTGACCTCACTTTTTTCAAATCAGTGTTTAGCTCAGTTTTAAAGAAACCATTCATAATATTTTTATCAAACTTCATATGCTGATACATACTGATGTAACCTTTTCAACTGCATCAACAATTTTTGACCTTGACCTTTTCTTTGACCTTGACCTCACTTTTCTTAAATTAGTGTCAAACTTCATATGCTGATACATACTGATGTAAGCTATTCAACTGCATCAATATTTTTTCACCTTGACCTTTCCTTTGACCTTGACCTCACTTTTCTCAATTTGTGTTAAAATATTGCATTTCTAATATACCCTCGGCGGGGCATTCATGTCCTATGGACATATTTCTAGTTTTTCATTTCTTTGATGGAATAATTTCTTATTGATAACATACATAAGAGCTAGTGATGGGAATTGGTAAGAATTTCATAATGGATGATCAGGTTACTGTAACTAACTAATCAACGATTATAATCGGACATTTACAAAGTCTATCAATGTAGTTAATTAAATGGTAAGAATGGGTAAATGACTATTTTCTGGGTGTTTATTTTGCTGAAAACAAATAAATGGATATCATCTGTTTTACTGAGTGTGTATCTTTTCCTTTAATTTTTCCTCATACACTGTAGAGTTATAAAACTAAGTTTGAAGAGTAAAGAAATTTATATAATCTTAAAATTACACATAACACAATTTCACTGAATGTCAGTCCTTTAAAAAGTATCAATTACATCAAGTCATTTTCTTAATCATGAATTTACTTCTTGAGAAAACAAATTCTGCAAAATTGTTAGATTTAACGAAGGTAAAAAACAGCTGGTCCTACATTCATTTTGTAGAACCCAAAGTACATCCATACCCAGGAAGTGCTTTGTTACTCGGGTATGAATACAATTGTCTGTGCCATTAGGATACACAAATAAGTTTAAGAGATAAGTTGCAGCTGGAATACTGAGCTTATAGATACATGATGTTATTAATGTGTATAACGAAAACATGGTTTTTTATTCCAAGTTAAATTGTATAATTTACCACAAAGAAGGCGTCTCCATATGAGTGAAAAAATCTCGAGAGGGACGTTAAACAACATACAAAACCAAACCAAACCACAAAGAAAAGCGTAATTTATGAATATTGGCCTGAAACTTCTATAAAATTCTCTAAAATAGAGCTGTGACATATTCTTCCCAGCTCACGACCCCCCCCCCCTCCCCCTCCCTTTTTAAAATCAACAGGGTGTATTAGAGTACACAACGTGAATTAATGAAAAAATGTTGGTGTCTCCGAATGCACATTTTCTGCAATATGAATCACAAGGATTGATGTAAAAATGATATAGAAATAGAATACCAGAGTTTATAACGACATCATCCTAATTTTGCTATCACAAGATTCTTGAATATTGATGCTGTCAAATAATTAACAATTGAAAATTCTAAGACAAGAATATTGTTGATTAGTTTTCTGATTAAATTTTTAATTGAGACATGATGCTATCATTGTACTATAGCACGTGGCGCATGAGTATAAAGTAAATTTGACTAACCGTGGTATGTGAAAGTGAAACTATGTATAGTAATGTAAATAAATGATTTCATTATTAACAACAGCTGTTTATTAAATTAAATTGGTTCTATCACTTTCTTGCTCGCCTCCCCCCCCCCCATCGCTTTTTTTCTCTATTTCTTTCTCTCATTTGCTCTCTCTCTCTTGATTGAAGACTGTCGAAGAAGAGACAAGCATTACACAAATAAAACATTCTAAAATCTTTCATATATGCAATGGGATTTTAAAAAAACAAATACAAGCTTGATTGAACATATTATAATTATACGAGGTTCTAGTCATGATTATTTCTTAAATTAAGCTGCAACTTGACATGATCTTTTGTATATAAGTACACTGCACAGCTTTGAACAGCGACTGGGTCTTACCGACATCATAATCAATGGGAGATAAGCCATTTTATTGGAAGTTAATTTTAGTGATCAAGTAATTTTAATAGACTCTGCAGTCGCTATCTTGCATAAAAAATTTCAAAATATAATTTCAGGCTTATTAAAGTAGCTCATATGTACTCATTTCCGTATACAACTCAAAATGCTCAGGACATTGTTTCATTTACCTTTAAAAGATATCCGCTCTACAATAAACATAGGTTATCAAAGATTACAAAGCTCACCTCAATGAATGATATCTATAAGTAAGGCAAATTTCACATCATATTTTTTTTCTAGTTAGGGTACATCCCAAGATCAATATCCATGCAAGTTTGGTTTAAGTAGGACTTACAGTTATTTGTAAAAAGACCTGCTCAAAAAACTTTAACCTGTTTACTAATCAAGAAAATTTTGGTCAGTTCCAACATCCAAAGCAAGTCTGGAAGTTTCATCCTTAAATGCACCATCTATACAAGTTTAATCATAACAGGCCATAATTTTATATAGCTAATCCAAAAAAAATTACCCTGGTCACTCATCTAGAAAATGTAAGTCAGATTCAGAATCCAAAGAAAGTCTGGAAGTGTTCATCCCTAGATACATCATCCATGCTAATTTAGTTAAAATATTGCTAAAATTCACTCATGTGGAAAATCTAGGTCTGATCCAGCATCCGAAGCAGTTTTGTTAGTGTACATCCCTAGATGCATCATCCATGAAAGTTTGGTCCAGGTAGGGCTTATAGTCACTTGGGAATGAGACTGCTCCAAAATCTAAATCTGGTCTCATATGTGGAAAATCTAAATCAGATCCAGCATCTGAATCAAGTGTGGTAATGTCCATTCCTAGATGCATCATCCATGCAAGTTTGGTCCAGATAGGGCTTATAGTTACTTGGGAATGGACCTGCTCCAAAAAACTTTAACCTGGTCACTCATCTGGAAAATTTAGGTCAGATTCAGCATCCCAAGCAAGTGTGGTAGTGTCCATCCGTAGATGCATCATCCATGCAAGTTTGGTCCAGGTAGGGCTTATAGTTACTTCAGAATGGACCTGCTCCAAAAACTTTAACCTGGTCACTCATCTGGAAAATCTAGGTCAGATCCAGCATTCGAAGCAAGTGTGGTAGTGTCCATCCCTAGATGCATCATCCATGCAAGTTTGGTCCAGATAGGTCTTATAGTTACTTGGGAATGGGACTTGCTCCTAAAACTTTAACCAGGACGCCGACGCTAATGCCGACCACGATACCGACGCCAGGGGTATAGCATAAGCTCATCTCGACTTCCTCGAGGTGAGCTAAAAAATCTAGTGACACAGTGAATCACTAGCTGATCCAAAATTAAGAAAAAATTCATTCTGAAATATGTGTATCATGTAATAATTGTTTTATTATGCTCTGATTCTATTCAACTGTGACAATGTGGATTGATTGATTGATTGTATGTTGTTTTACGTCCCATTCGAGAATTTTTCACTCATATAGAGACGTCACCATATACCGGTGAAGGGCTTCAAATTTTGACCTTTACTTGGCACTCAGGGCCATTGAGCAGTGAGCGATCTTTATCGTGCCAACATCTGTCGTGACACGGGGCCTCGGTTTTTAAGGTCTCATCCGAAGGACCCGCAACTTTCACTTCAAAGTGCCGAGAGCATGGCGAAGGAACAGTTGCTACCCATTTTTTATCGACTTAGGTCAGTCGCGGCTGAGATTCGAACTCACGACCTTCCGATCACGGAGCGAGCGCTCTACCGACTGAGCTACCGTGAACGGTGTGACAATGTGGATGTATGTAAATGTTCTAGAATCATTTCGTATAAAATGTGACATTTTACGAGGGAGTCTGTACATGTAAATATGTTCTATGTTTTACTATTTACTTTATTGTAATTATTCTAAAAAAAAATTTCTTGTTTTTCTTACCTGTCTGCTAAACATAACAAAGGTCACAGAGGTGACTGGTAGAAATATAGTATCAAAACTCTCTGTTGATGACCAGATGACATCCGGCAATGTATATACGCCATGGTTGATCTTTAACAGGGGAGACTATTTCTATAAATCAGAGGAATTGTTGTCAAAATAAAAGTTACCCATTACTCTTTCTACTAGCTGGTCTCAAACAAGAAAATAGTTTTACAATATGTAAATGTATAGCTTTAATTAATTTAAATTAAAAAATAATAAAAAAAAAGTATTTCAGAACAAAAGAGAAAATAAAGATTACTGTAAACCAACAATTATTCGCGTCATCTTTTTTTTAAATCAATCCGCAATGATTCATTTACATGACTGAGGAAACATTCTCCATAATACAAGACACAATAAATGTTTCACAGCGATTAATATTCGTGAGTTAAAGTAGGTCGTGAAACGAATATTTCTCACACACAAATAAAAGTTGGTTTACAGTAATGCTTGGACAAAAATTTGAGATTTAAAAAAAAACGCCCTAACATACCTATCCTAAAATTTGCATGAGTTTCATGTGTTGACAGACTACACATCATCCAGGAAGTTACATCATGCACAACTTTAAAAGAAGTTCCCTTCAATTCAGTGGGACATTACCACTTAAGTTATTTTATTCCTAGTATATAAGTCCAAAATAATAATTTAGGCCTTAAAAGACCTTGGTTTAAAACCAGAGGCCCATTGGCCACATCACTCACCAGAACTATCAGGGATTTTTTTACCCCTTGATTCCAGGGGCCGTCAAGATTGGGAAAAATAGCGATATTTGGTTGAAATTGGGAAAAATATCTTCATACAAATAAATAGGAAAAAACAAGCAAAAGTCAAATATTTAATCATTTTTCTTATTTTTTATAGTATGAAGCTGGCTTAAACCAGCTTTAGTGGTATGAAATAATAGCGGCTGTTGAAGTTCAGAAGCTTAAAAATGGCAAAGCCGCAGGGTATGATAACATTGTAAATGAACATATTTATACGTTGTCATCTTTTTTACCTTTATGTAAGAAGTTTTTTAAAATAACATTTGATAGTGGGTTTGTTCCAGATGAGTGGTTAATCGGTATTGCTTGACGAATTTATAAGAATAAGAGTGATTCAACTCAGCCTGAAAATTACCGTCCTATGCAAACTGGAGAGACTGACATGATGCACATTTATTTTTTAGATAACGATCCAGACTTTAATTTTTAAACATCGATCCCGCTTTAAAAAGTATGCATGCAAACATCCATAGTATTCTGAATAACTTCTCGGAAGTCCTCGGATGGCTCGTACATCGCACATAGAGAACATAAACACCTTTTTGTCATTATTTTATTTTAATAATTTACAACTTAATACTTATTTTCATATTGGGAATTTTTAGGTATGATTTTGGGAAAAACTTGCACTTTTCAGCATTGGGAATGGGGCCGAATTTCGGCCCCGGAGAGACCCTAAAAAATTCCCTGACTATAATGGTGATAGCATCTGGATAAAATGTACAAGCAGACTATAACAAGCAAAGAGAGAAAAATACATGAAAAAATTGAATCAAATTTCAAGAATTACTAGACTATCATTCAACTAAAGCCTGACATCCCTAGTTTCCAAACCCATAACTCCTTTACAGTGTCCACCCAAAAGATTTTTCAGCACTTGTCTTGTCTGGCTAGCCATGACAAAATTTACTACCCATTTTCCACTTCGTTTACAAGTTGCCATTTTTTACTTTCAATTTCAATTTTTTGGCAAGTTGTTTGTGTATCGTTTCATACCTATATTTCAGTGTGTGTACCGTAAACCATTTCTTAGCAGGAAATATTGGTATGTATGGTAGTATCGGTATAACGTCCTACCTCTCTGTTTTATAACACAATGCAAAGTTCTTGTCTCACTGTCTTCACAAAATACACTTCAAATTCAAACTTTTAATGACTGTAAAACTAACATGTTAAAATGATACATTCTTGAATAATGATACATATTGATATAAAGTATTTCTATATTTTAACACAACCCTATTCATTAGAAACTCAGGTGCATTTTGATTCAAAGCATTTTTTAAAGTCAAAGACAATCTCCATCTTTACTTTTTCTTCCATTCATTAGCCGTTTACACATGGCAACCAGAAACAACAAATTATAAATAGCCAAACTAAGTTTGGACAGAAAGATAAGAAAATCATTCATTGAGAAAACTGAAAGTTTTAAAACTTCGCTATATTCATATTTCACAGAATTCTTTTGTTTTGTGATACAATTTTTTTAAAAGAAACTAGGGGTGAAACGATACACCTCCTTCACGGTTCGATACGTATTGTATAATTTTGTCTCGGTACGGTTATTTTCGATACGATACATTTTGATAGAAGGAAACAAATTCACCCTTGTTTCATGCTTTCTTTTACTAAATTTAGTCACTTAATTTACGAATTTTTATATGCAAATTGATGAGAAGAAATTGATTAGAATTATTTGACTGTCAATAATTATTTTACAAACTATCAATCATCAAAAATTTACGTTTTCTATACTTATTTATACTGAGTAATGTGTTTTACCTTATGCCAAACCCGACTGAATAATGATCCCGACTGAAAAATGAACTGAACCGAAAATTAGAGATTTTGCACCGTGTATCAAACCGAGAAAATATACCGCGGTGAATCGATACCGCGGTGAACCGTTTCAATCCTAAAAGAAACACATGGTTTTGACTCATTATGCAACTTGAATTATCACCCCTTGAAAGAGGGTGTGCAGGGTTCAACATTAACATTTTTAGGCTTTAGTCCGACAGGACTAATGCTTCTTTACTTTTACTAGTCCGCACGCGATTTTATGAGTCCGTCCAAAAAAAAAATCAATGTTTTATAACAGTTAATTTAAAAATAAAACATTGCAATGTACTTTTTTGAAATAAACAAAGCAATTACGTGAAAGTTTCATTCCAGGATTCTTTTATATTCTCGAGATCAGGAACTACAATTGTATTCCCGATCTCATTTTTTTCTCTATACATTACATCCAAATGTCTTTGTGTAAAAATAAATCATGATCGCTAAAATGTTTAACTTCATACCAATCAGTCTTAATTGACTTGGAATTACCTAACTCCCTGTCAAGAAGCTAGAAAGCTAAAGATGCATGCGGCATTTTCTAGTGAAAGTTGTCGAGAATTAAACATTGGCAATTTATTGATTTTTTTCCAGAAATTTTATTAGTCCATTCGGACTAATTAGCCTCAGATCTTATCAGTCCGAATGAAAATGTATTAGTCTGAGACTAACGTTAATGTCGAACCCTGGGTGTGGCCCTTCATTTGAACAAACTTGAATCTCCTTCACCCAAGAATGCTTTGTGGCAAGTTTGGTAAAAACTGGCCCAGTGGTTCTTGAGAAGAAGTCGAAAATGTGAAAAGTTTACAGACGGACAGACAGATAGATGGACAGATGGATGCCAGACAAAATGTGATCAGAAAAGGTCACTTGATCTTTCAGCTCAGGTGAGCTAAAAATGATAAACATCTTTGACAGAGAGTCGCAAAGGCCCTCCGCAACTGGAGATTTTTTTTTATGGATTTCTCATTTTCGAATACATTACACAAATTCAATAGCAATATTTCATAGAAATTGAGTGCTTAAGAACTGTGACCTTTTATTGTTAAAGTGAAAACGGAGGGTTAACAGCTATAAAGATTTATGTACATTGTATTTTCAAACTTTTGATTAGTTTTGAATGAGAAAAATGAAAATAATGAAAATGTAAGAATAAATAGAGAGAGCATTTTATAAATTGTCTACAGGCAAACAGATGAACAGACATTCCAACAGACTTTGGACACATGAAATATGAATAATGTAAGAATAAATAGACAAAGGCATTTTGTGAAATTGTTTACAGACAGACAAACATGATACACACAGTGATGGACCTTGGGCACGTCACCTTACTATCGCAAATGCGCTTCTGGTAGTAACGCTAAAAATTCATTTTGCTTGAGCTTCTTAAAGTACAAAACAGATTCACCTGTAAACACATGTATCATCCTGTGATCTTCTGCTCATCCCCATTTCCCGCCATAGCCAAATGCAAATAAAAGGAGTTTCAGTATGACGATCCCGATGTAATTTGACACCTCAAATTACTTTTAGCCCCATGATCAACCAATAATTTGGATACAAAATAAAAAAACAAGTCATCCCCCAGGTATTTCTTGCGAATTATCTTTGCCAAGATACATTTTGCATATTTCTTTTTTTTTCTCCACATATGTAATTTTTTTTGTTTGTCCAAAAAAATTTCCTTCATTGATATGTTAGCATAATTTCAAAACAGGACTTTATTATATTTTATATTTTTATATTCTCTTATTACTTGATAACAGATGTAAAGACAGACAGTAGACAAGAATGTCTACATCCAAGAGGATCCAAGAATTATTCAAAGGGGAGAGGGGTCGGTCCACGTACACTAATTAAAGGAATAGGAATCAGATTTCTTGAATTTATTGACACATGTGACAAGCAAAGAAAAAAAAAACACAAGCAAATAAAACAAAATTAAAAACAAACATGCACAAAATAGGGGGATGCGTTTTCCTGAAGAGGGTCAAAGGTAATTTTTTTCGTTACTTCACAAAGTTTTTTTCAATTAAAAACTGAACCATTATAAACTTAAGAGAAATATATCAGTTTTTCTATCGAATTCTCGTGTAAATATACCTATAGGTAACCTTACTTTTACATATATATGCAGCTCCACCGTTTTCCAATATCAAATTAATTCAACATCTCTTACGATTATCTACATGTACATTTGAAACTGTATTTTACTGCTTATAGTTGATGAGTGAAAACGTTTAAAGGGTGGGGACGTCTAGGTGTACACTTTTTTCCCCTCCAATTATTGACTAATTTGCAAATTTAACTTATACAGTTATAGTTATATGTATTGTACGAAAGCCAATCGAGCGCATTTTCGTAGGTAAAAAAAAAAAAGATTCCTAAAAGTGAGTTACTTTGAAAAAATATTAATGTAATCACTGTTTAATTAATCATGTTATTTCTATTTCAGTAAACATTTTAGTATACCCTATTTCCTATCTTTGTTATATATCATCAATGCGCCCCCAACCAATCTCCACCTAGGAATTAGGTGGACAACCCCCCCCCCCCCTACACACACAAAGCCCTAAAAATAATTCTTAGATTCAGTCACACTGTAATTCAATTTTTTGACTTCAAGATAAAGAGACCTTTACAATAGGGGTGCAAGTTTTGTCAATAACCATCTGCATTCAGAAGTATTAATTACTGTACACTAAATCAATGTTCATAAAAACATGAATCAATCGTCAATTTTCCTTCATTGACACAGAAACTGTCGGTGGGTTAGCATAATGGGGGGGGGGGGGGGGGCTTATATATTCCTTTTTTCTTTTTCTTTTTTTTAACTAGAAGAGTGCTCTGTCGCGGTGGGTTTTTCTTAATTTACCTATACCTTTCGGTATCTTTAGCAAATTCTATCTCCTCTTACCTTTGATAACATATAAAACATGATTGCAAGGCAAAAAGTAACAGGTCCAGTCCAAAGACAATTTCTACCTTCGTAGCTATTAATAGCTACGTAGGTATTTAAACCCGCCCAAAGTAGCTATTTTTACCTACTTTTTGCATTACTTGCATTTTGTGGCCAAACGGCCGAACGGCGCAGCATGGTGAGTGCCACCTTTCTTGATACAGTCACACTGATGATGAATACCACACAATTTATTAATAGCTACGTAGGTATTTAAACCCACCCAAAGTAGCTATTTTTACCTACTTTTTGCATTACTTGCATTTTGTGTCCAAACGGCCGAACGGCGCAGCATGGTGAGTGCCACCTTTCTTGATACAGTCACACTGATGATGAATACCACACAATTTTGGCCAAAAAAGATTACTTCATAAATTAACAATTTCGCATAGTAATTAATGCAAAATTGTTGATTTACAAAGTAATCATTCTTTGGCCAAAATTTTGTCGTATTCATTATCAGTGTGACTGTACTCACCATGTTGCGCCGTTCGGCCGTTTGGCCACAAAATGCAAGTAATGCAAAACGTAGGTAAAAATAGCTACTTTGGGTAGGTTTAAATACCTAGGTAGCTATTAATAGCTACATAGGTAGAAAGACGTGAGTATTTTTTTTTAAATCAAATTTTGAATCCATAGATACAAAAAGTATATATATCGATACGTATATATAAACAATGTAACATAAATAAGTACGTATACAGATATAATATATTATTGCATTCATAATGGTAACGCCAAGTCAAGACAAGAAAAGCATGCACACACCTGATATAATGTTTTCATTGAATTACAAAGTTTAATAAACTGAATCTACATTGTAAAATACTCACCTTTATAGCTGATTTTATGTTGACCAGTCAATGAGCATCTCCATTTGAATTAAAACTTACAACTTTCGTGGACATGAAAAAAAACCCCTAACACTTAATCTCAAGCGTTAAGAATCGAACATTCCCTGTAGAGTTGAAGCTATTTTTACAGGTCTGCTTGCAAAGGCGCTCGTGCGTGAAAAACATGAACAGTTACCGGTAGACTCGGAAGTCGAAAATTTACGAAAATTACCGAAGCTAAAAAAAGTAAAGAAATATGATTTTCTGTCTTTTAATTGGAATTAAAAGATAATATCTGCATGAGAGGTAATTTCTAAAATGATGTCGAATACATTTTCATCTTAATAATTTTAGGGTCGGTACAGAAACTGCAATTTATTCTATAAGATTTAGGCCCAAAGGAAGCAAGTATATAAAGCAGGGGATGGGGTTGGAAAAGCTTGGCAGAAATTCTAGACAACGCATCAACTTTTTTTTCTTGAGGCTAGGGGGTACAGCCATATATTTGCTTTGGTTTTTAACGTATATAACATGCACTGACAAGATCATTGAGAGAGCACAACTGAAATTAGCCTGTTTAAATTATAATATATATATTTTTTAATGTGGCAAAATTATGGGAGAGAACAGCCCTATGGTTCTTGGCTCCTTCGGGCCTAGATTAATTATAGTGTGAGCACCGACTCCAACCCCCCCCCCCCCCTCCCCTCCCCCTTCTGGAACTTCCAGGGTTACCATATTTCTAGGTAGAAGTAACGAATAAATATTGTTAATGATTATTAGTAAAGTATTTTATTTGTAAAAGAAATCCAGCCTTCTTTAAAATTTAGCTATCTCTTTTACTTATAATTAATGACCTTCTAAACACTGCATACTGAAGAGTTCCATTTTTTTGGTATAATTATTACTTTTATTCAGTTATAAGGATATTTACGATTACATCTAAATTAAGATACAAATCATTTAAAGTATTACTCAATTTGTAATCAATTTAAGCATTTCAAACACTTAATTAATCACTAAATTTGCATGCATTTTCAGAAAAATGTTTGACAAGCCCCCGCCCCTCACAAAAGATCTTGCTCAAACCTCGAAAACTTATTTCATGATGTGGGGGTAAGAGCAAAACAAATCATTTTCCTAAGTCAGTTTTCTTCTTAAACATGACTCTCCATACTATTTTACGCGGGGTTTGTGTTTCCTGCAAAAGGTGGAGGGGTCCAAGGCTATTTTTTAATTACTCTACATTTGGAGACCAGGTCTTCCAACAATCTATTGGAATTGCTATGGGTACCAATTGCGCCCCGTTATTAGCAGACCTTTTTTTGTATTCATATGAAGCAGAATTTGTCCAAAATCTTGTACGTGAAAAGAAGAAAACACTTGCTGTGGCGTTCAACTCGACATTTAGATATATCGACGATGTATTGTCAATTAACAATGGCTATTTTCATTCTTATGTCGATACGATATATCCTGGTGAACTTGAGATAAAAGATACCACAGAGTCTGAAACATCTGTTTCATATTTGGATATTTTACTTGAAAAAGACGTTAATGGTAATCTAACAACCAAGCTTTATGATAAACGTGATGACTTTAACTTTTCAATCGTCAACTTCCCTTACTTATGCAGCAGTATACCTTCATCACCTGCATACGGAGTATATATATCTCTCAGTTGATTCGATACGCAAGAGCATGCTCTACGTATGTACAATTTCTAAAACGAGGTAAATTATTGACAAATAAGTTGATGAAACAAGAATATCAGCTGTCTCGTTTAAAGTCATCATTTCGTAAGTTCTATGGTCGATACAATGACCTTGTCAGCAAATACAATTTTTTATTGAGTCAAATGCTGACTGACGTTTTTCATATTAATTGTTAGGCAATTATTTACACACTGAATTGTCGACGGATTTTTCCGTTATTTCCCGATCATGACAAGGAGCACACGGCGGGTGTGACCGGTCGGCAGGGGATGCTTACTCCTCCATGGCACCTGATCCCACCTCTGATGTTTGGAGGTCCGTGTTTGCTCTGCTCCTATTTTGTATTGTATAATGGACTTTTGAGCTTGAACACTGTTCGTTATCTCCATATATTTCATTTAAATCTAATGATTCTTAAAACTCGGGAAAGGGGGTCCGACCCCCCTCTAAATCCGTGCATGCAAGAGTTGTAATGGCCAGTTCTTTCTACAACCGCGTCACATCAACTATTCTAATGAAAAATTTAAATGTATACATATTAATGCATTTAAGAGGGTTTTTTCTTTTTAATTTAGAGCATAGTTGTAAATACGTAACGACAATTTTCAACACTTTCATCAAAACTTATGCAGTGAATAGCTACATCATATACCATCAACATCGAGGTTTGCAGAGGAAAATGAGTCGACTCGAGTGTGCCAGGAACTCGTTGGGGAATACAGAGCTGACAGTCAAAGATCAGGACCAGCCCAGTGCTTAGAGCGGTTGACAGCCAGACACTTTGTCTTCTTCGCCCCTGGTATTTCACTTAATACTAGTACTGAGAGCTAAATTGATAATTCTCAATCCCCCCCCCCCCCTCCCCCAAGTTTATCGTTCAAAAATGGCTTAATGTGGTACATATATCTTTTTGTCCATCTTTGCAGACGGTTAAAGTATCCGACCCATATAA